CTAATTGCCCCTAATTCCAAGCCATCCAAACCACTACCCTGTTTGATATTTATAGGTGTCCTCTGAAGTATATACCACATTTTAAAATAAAGCCTACTGTGTTCATTGGGTGGTGAGGAAGTGTGATGCTCAGTGGTTTCTCCAAGGGGAAGACTAGGTCCCTGGCGAGGTTGGCTGTCCAGTGTCACTTTCTTTGAGTCCCATGGAGACTCTTCGGGTCCTATTCCTTCTGCCATCACAGGGGAGGGTGATGTGGTCAGTGGAGCAACATGGCCTGGGCCTTTGGATGAATGCTCAGGACGGAAAGAGGACGTATCCACCAGACCAGGGTTTTGAAGGAAAGTGTATATTTGCTTTGATGTTATTTCTTACACACTGAGATCTCAACACTCTGGATGGTGAGGCGAGAAGATCCCTGCGGGAGGTGAGCCGTCTGCCACCCACAGACCCCCCTCCCCGCCTCTTGGGCCAGGTGAGACAGCCCCAGACCTGCAGACTGCTTCTCGACCCCTTGTCCCCCACCACCCAGATGCCCTCTCCAGAAGCCGAATGGCTGGCCCCCACTCAAAACCATGCACAGTCATGCTTATGGAATAAATGGGAGAAAAAATAAAAACAAACTCCCCTGCCCTACCTTTTCCGGCCAGCCTCTCTCCGAGAAGGAAACTAGATCCAATAGTTTGCTTTCAAATCCTTTTAAGCATTTCATTTTAAGGTACACTGTCCTCCACATAAAATCCCAAGTGTCTGAAAACCATATGGAATTCACCAGGTAACCACACAAGTCTGTCCTCTCTGAGGACCAAGACGCATGGGTCCCAGGTCCTTACCTGGTCCCCTGAGGGCCGGCGACTTCACTGGCAGCTGCGATTTCTGTCTGCTCCTGTCCCCTGGCACTCTTGGGCTCTGCGTTTCTGGGCTGACTGTCAGTCTCCCCAGGTTTGGCCTCCTCTTCCTTGATAAAATTTGTGGTTCCTGGGCTGCTGAAAGGTGCAAAATCTTTTCAATAATTTTTACAGGGAAACAGCTTCTGCATAAAGAATGCTCCAAAGGCCCAGCAACGGGGAAGGCAGGTAAGGGACTGGGGCCCAGGTGGTCAGAGAAGAGCTGGATTTGAAACCTGGTTCTGTGACCTTGTAGCTGTGTGAAATTGGGCAGATCACATCACCCCCTTGCAGCCTCAGTTTCCTCCCCTATCAAATGGAAAATCATAATACCTACTTCGCAAGGTTGTTATCACTCACCGTTAATGAGCACCTGTGACACCTGCAGCAGGGTCTATAAGGGGTGTGCCCTTCTGCTAAGATGCTTCTAGCGTCCTGTTCATAGATGTTGGGATGGGCATGCTGGGAACCCTGTCGAGAGCCCTCTGCCGTTGGGACATGCAAAGGCCCTCTCTCCAGCTGCTCTTCCAAGGTTGAATCACAGCCTATTTTGTACCCTCAGGTTGTTTATTAGCAGCTAAGATGGCCTTCCAGAAAAGTTCCAATGTCTGGAATACCAGGTATACCTATTTGCTTGGCTATGTGCTGGGAGGATAAACTCACGGGAAAGACAGTAGTGGGAATGCTAACGTGGAATGAGTTCCCGATGACTTTTTTTTTTTTTTTTTTTTGGAAATTCACATTTTGAACCAGGTTGCTAATTGGTTTGAATAATCTCAAATGTCTTCTGCACATGTAGGAAGCGTCAGTGCCCGCGGAGTTTGGGGCAAGCGTTTCAGTATTTTCCATGCCTCTCTGCAAGTTCTTGAGTTTACAAGGCAGTTGAATTGTGAATATCTGAACTAGATCTTTCCAGGGGAATTTGCCTGGCTCATCCCCTCTTGGACAGTTCAGAAGTTTCACAAATAACCGTAGCCAGCAGGCAACACGGGTAAAGCTGGGAAGGTCCTTGAGTTGTGTGCGAGAGAGCAGCCGTTCTTGGCCTGTGGAGACAACTGGATTTATGTTCCAGAGAGTAAGTTGTGGTTTTTGTCCAGATTCAGGAAATGAATGAAAGTTCTTCCTGGCAGCTCACGAAGCCGAGTTTAATGCGATTAGGTACGGCCCGCTTCTCCTGATGGGCCCCAGGAGGGGAAGGCACTCAGTTCTGTGTCCCCAAGACAGAGGGGACCATGTTCTAATGGGGATTTGCGGAAAGAGGGGCACGGCCAGTGGTGGTGGCTCACGTAGGGTGAGCTGGTGGGGCCTGGAGGGGTTGCAGGTGTGACCTCAAAGGAGAGAAGGGAGTTCTCCAGAAGATGAGGGTATATTCTTCAGAGGGTGTGGGGTGGTGATGAGACACAATTTCACTAACCTGGAGGAGAGTGAGAGGGGATTTATGCTATGGGAGCCAGGATGGAGGGGGGAGCGAGGCACTTTCTCAGCACCCAGATTGCTTTCCTGCAACCCACGGGTTTCTCCCTGGTCATCTAGGACCTCATCCCTCCAGCTCTCAGCAGTCAAAGACTGCCTCCTACCTCTCCCCTGATGGCCAGGGCGGGAGGCAATGGGATTCCTACTGAAAAAGCAGCAGCTGGAGGGCCGAGGGAGGGGCAGTCTTGGGATTCAGGCCCCAAGGTCCTGGTCACAAGGATTGCACGTTGATTCCTAGCGGGAATCCCGTTAGAATCTTTGCATTTCCTTCAGAGCCCAGGGCAGCAGAACCTCACACTGCCCACTGCCCCATGCCCTCACCCCCCTCCACACCCTCCCAGGGTGCAGGGGTGGGGTCCTCCTCCCCAGGGGCCTTTCTGCCCCAGCCTGCCCCAGCCGGCAGGTCCTTCGAGGCCTATTTCCACTTTTATGCCCACCCACATGCTTTTATGCTCTGACTCTGCTTTGGCCAGAACTTTCAAGATTCCTAGGACCTTTAGCATTGAAATAGTCTAACGTCGCCCGAGGTATACATCTTTTCTCTCCTTAAGGATGAGGACCCTGTCTTAGCCTGCGTGTGGCCTGGTCTCCTTCAGGACAGAGAGTAATTGCTTAGTGTGATGTGCGAAGGTGCGTTCGGCTACCCGGCTACCCCAGGGGAGTCCAAAAGTAGAACAAACTTTTTCTTGTGCTAACCATCCAAGATGACTTCAGGTGATTTTGTCTCGTTCCAAAAAAAGCGCGCTTTCGAAGCATCAGCTCTTTTAAATGATTTCCAGAAATGAGCCTGTCTGTCTCTAACCGAGAGTTTCAGCAGACTAAAGTAATAAAGCCGAGAACCCGGAGATGGTTTTACGGGGTCTGGCAAGCGAAGCTGGCAGGGTGGGCAGGAGCCCCTGACTTTGGGCAGGTTGGACCTCAGGTTCGGCATCTCCGAAACGGGAATATTCCTATCTTGCCGAGTTACTGCGACGTTTCGCAATAATGTACGTAAATGGCCTCAGAGTCCGGTGCTTCTCGGCCGCTCTCAGTGGTTGTTGCAGCATGTGCCACAAACAGTTTACTGCTACTACTACTAATTGGGGATCTGAAGTCGCTCCCCGGAGAGAATTGCACTGGCCCAGAACGTGTTCTGCAGGTTTCATCCCTTGAGAATAACCTACTCGATAACCTTCATTTCTGTGCTGTTCTTGCCGAGCCGTCCTCCCTCAATCCTTTATAAAATCCAAAAGGCAAATAGCAACTCCCTATTATAATCTGTTCGACAAATACCCGTGTGCCTTTGCTATGTAATAATTTGAGGGCTCGCAAAGATGAGTAAGACAGTTTGGTCATGACCTTAAAAACTGTAATCCAATTTGGTGGTACTGCTGACTTCTTCCTTGTGATTACCCTCTCAGAGTCTATGGAAGGCAAACTCTTACAAAATATCCCTTTTCACCACCTGCCGTTGTAGGCACAGATGAGGTGACCTGGGCCGCACAGCTTCTATGCACCCTGTTTCCGGGTCCTACTCACCTTCCCCGTACCCAAATCAAACCAAACTTCAGACCTCTGGGGCCTTTCTAGCATGGTCCTCCCCGTGGCATGGTACAGACCTTAACCTACAGAGAGACCCAAGTTAGAGTCACACTGGAAGAGGAAATAGAGCTTCCTCTTCAGGTTGGAGGACAGACCCGTTGCCTTGGAGAGAAGGCATTTGTGCTCAGCAGTCCCATTGCTGCCACTCAACACCCTGAAGTTTGTTAGTGAATTTGGGGAAGACTGGTTTGCTTTGCACTGGACCCTCTTCTAGTGTCTGAGCGAGGCGATGCCTCCAGGGACAAAGAAACCAAATGGCTGTTTCGATACAAGGTGCCTGTCCTAGTTCTCTTGACGATGCTGGGATGCTATAATTGTTGATTGAATAGTTCTTAATTTGACTAGAGGGGAAAAATGTAGTAATCTCCTATTTACCCAAGGCCCTGATGACTGAGAACCAAATCCACTTAATCGTGCATGTTTATTCCATGTGCCTCATCATTGCTCAGTTCTTTACATGCTTGCCAGACACAGACACGGTTCTTGATAGACCAGGTCGAAGAGAGAGAAAAATACAACTCCTAAACCTTTACTCCCTCCCCCTGTCTTGACAAGGAGGTGCCAAGATTCTGTCTAAGAGATGCCTTCTTAAAAAAATGTCTTGCTTCCTTTACTCTCTCAACATAAATAAATAAACTTAAAAAAAAAAAAGTCTTGCTTCCTTTAGATCGTGGGAAGAATTACAGCTTAGTCGCAAGGGCCAGTGTTGCCCTGGAGTAATAGGCAGCTTTCTGTACACTCACAAATAACAGGCTGCGTCGATTTGCCTATTTGGGTGTGCTGGAAATGTGTGCTGTCTCACATACCCAGAGGAGATCTTAATTAAAGCTTAATTATGTACCATAAATATGTTTTATTTTGGAGCCCAGGAGGTGGGATTTTTTTGATTTTGGGAAATGTGGTGCCTAATAAGTAGGCAGGAAAGGGAATGTAAACAGTCAGTGAGCCCTTTAATTTGTCCCCTTTCGGCACGGTTCTGCGGGGTTTCTCAGTCCCAGCGTGTGCCTTGGGAAGGGCCTGCCCCCCCCCCCCCCCCCCCGCGCCGCCCTCTCGGGGCTGCCATCGGACACAGGAGGGCCTGCTCTGTTTCTGGGCGTCATGTTCCAGAGTGTGCCAGCCACGGGAGCGAAGAAATCAGATGAGTCTCGAGAGAGGACGGGATTTTATTGGTCGCTCACGCCTTAGCGCTACGAGGAGGTCGAGTCAAGTGGCAGCTGTCTGGTCTTCCTGCTCCCCTGCACACCTCACCGCCTGGGTGTTGCTCGTGACCTTGCCCTCCGGCCCCCCACCTCTCCACCTGCCTTCCGGAAGCCCGAAGTCCCCCTCTCCCTGACTCCTCTGTGCTGTGTGCCTGGCCGAGGGCGACTTACCACACGAGGTAAATCTTACTGGGCCTCCTGGGGCCCGGCAGACACAGCACAGGGGTCTCCGCTGGGGTCGGGCAGGACACGGGGAAGTAACACAGGGTGGCCGGGGACTGGGGCACGGGGCCCGGGGACAAGGAAGAGGGGTTGGTGAAGGAGGGAGAGGGGGCAGGAGGGAGCTGGGGGAAGGGGTCCTGGGCCACCGGGGAGGCTGGCGGCAGGAGCGGCAGGAGGAGGCAGCAGGAAGTGGTATTGGGCTGCGGGAAGGGGGAGAAAGCGAAGACGGAGCAGTAAGGGGAATATTCAACACAGAACAGGGGGTGCTCGCTGCTGTCACCTGCACAAAAGAAAAAGAGCAATCAGGAAGCAGCACTCACGGTGGGAAAGCCTGTGAATGAATCAGAACACAAAGAGGGTTCTTCGGGCTGGCCTGTCCAGGTGTCAGAGGGGTGGCCGATGGGATCTCAAAGTCACCCGAGAGTTAACTGAGGGACACGGCCTCATCATCACACCCTCTTCCAGCCAATAGTCTCTGGCGTCCCTGACAGACGCCGGAAAGTTCTCCCCCCACTAAGTGCCTGCGTGGCAGCGCGGGGTCCCTTCTCCGCCCCCACGGCCAGTCTAATTAGCTGTGCCCGCAGCAACATACGGTGGCTGGCAGGGTCTCACCTCGGTAAGGCTCTCCCCCTCCAGTCCTCCAGCTGCCCGCAGGAGGAGGCGGCAGTCATGCCCTAATCTGGCCTTTCTGCTGCAGAGGGGAGGTTTGAGAAAAGAGAAAGAAGCAGAGAGATCCTGGTGGGATCACGGAAAGGGGGAGGGACCAAGGAGGGGAAGAAGCAGGTGGACGAGGGAGGTGTCCAAGTGAAGTGAATGATTTGCCCGCTAAACCCACACTTAATCTGCCAACCTTCTGGAGGCGGAGTATGGGCACCTGATGGAGACACGATCCAGAGAGACCCCCTCGTGCATGACAGATCTCTCAGCGCTGCCACTAGCCAGCTGGGTCACCTTGGATCATCTGTTTACCTTCTCAAAAACTATTTCCTCATCCGCAAAATGAGACAGGTGTTTTCTCTAGGCCTTGTTCCCCCACGGGTGGTCCTTTGACCACCAGCATGGATGTCCCCTGGAAGCTTCTTAGAAATGCAGACTCCTCGCCCCCTCCTCCCAAACCGACCGAATCACAACCTGCAGCTTATTGGAGTCTCCAGGTATCTCATCAACTTTAATGTTCTAGAATCGAGGCTGTGAGACAGGTGTCCAAACCTCCGTGATGAGAATCACCTGCTGTGCTTGTTAAAGATGTGGTTTTACAGGCTGCCTCAGTGGAGATTCTGACGCTCTGGGTCAGGAGCGGGAACCAGGAATGTGTCTTTTCATCAAGTACCTCCCGGGTGACTCTTATCAGAGAAGTTTGGGAAAGGCTGCAGCTGCAATCAGTCCCGATTCTAAAATGCCATCATTGGAAGCATCCAGTTGAAAAGCATGATCATTACCTCCAGTATAATTGGGGGTGGGGGTGGGTCTCAGCCCTTAGTTACTCCTATCCTGTGCAAGATCTGACACAATTATCTGTTCCTTCGTTTCCCAGTGCCTCCCTAGGCTTTTGCCGTGGCTGCTACTTCTTGCATTGTTTCTCTGTGGTTGTCTTCTTCTGCCCTTTCCCCACATCATCCCTGCTTGCTCCATGAGCTCTCACCGGGGAGACCCTCTTCAGCTCCCTTGCTCTCTCTCTAGGCCCTTGGATTCCCGCTGGTGGCCAGGAGCTCTCTGCCCAGCAGCAGACCTGGGTCCTCCGGTGTTTCCTGGCATTTCCTCCCGGCCATCCTGCCTGCCCCTCAAAGACAACACTCACAGAATGGGGCCCATTCTCTTCTTGCTTTCTCAGCCTTGACAAAGGCAACCTCCACAGGCCTAGTTTTCTGGGCCAGAGCTCCAGCTTCTCTTTGGTTCCTCCTTTTTCCGTATCCCCACACCCAGGAGTCACCACCAAGTACTGCCAGGAGTACTTCCTTGACCATCCCTCAAGCCCAGCCCTCTTCCCCATCCCCTCTGCTTTTACTCCAGGCCAAGCCCTTCCTATTTCTCTCTGGGTGCAGTGCACGTACAGCTTGTCTGGTCTCTCGGCCTCTGTCAGGCTGCTCTCACTCCCCTTTCAGGCCCCTCTCCATGCCACAGCCCACTTGTAAAAGTGCCAGTTGGGTCGCACCCCATCTCACTTAGATCCCCTCCCAGGCTGATGCGCCAATGCCTTTCTGCTTGACATTCAAGGCCCTCAGGGACCTGGTCCTTGCCTCCCCATAGGGCGCCAGCTTTATACTCTCCTCTTCCTAATTTAATTTGTAGGCCGACCCTAAAGCAGACCTTCTCAAACTCATCTGTGCACACAAATACCCCAGAGATACTATCAAAGGCAAGTTCTGGTTTGGTCAGTCTGGACTGGGATCTGAGGTTCTGTATTTCTACCAAGCTCTCAGGTGAGGCCTCTGCTCCTGGTCTGGGGACATTTTAAGGCCCAAGGCCCTAGACTACTTGGAGTTCCTCAATTTTTTACAAGAAAGTTATAACCTGTCTTACATCTCAGGCTAAAATGGCTTTGGTTGAGCAGCTTATAAAAAGATGCCAGGCCTGGAGCAGCAGGCGGTGGGGGTGGGAGTCGGGATTTCCAAGCAGAGGGAGGATTGGGGACTGACCTTTCCCTACGGCCTAGTCTCCCCACAAGGTTTTAATCCTCCCATCTACCTGGTGAGGTAGGTAACAACTCAACTTTACTGACGAGGAAACTGAGTTCGGGGAAGTTGCCAGCTCACATTTAGGGCTATAAAGTAGTAGACCAGGATGCTGAGCCGTGGTTTCCCGTTCTGGGCCCTGTGACCTCCCTGAGCCCCACGGTCTCGGAAGCATTACCATAAACGACTGAGGATTAGTATTCTCTACGTAGAAAGAGCGTTCACTTATGGTGGTTGTTTTCTAACTTGGGCAGATGGCCTGGAAAGTTGTTGGGACACCAAGGGACCTGCCTGGAAATTCATTAATCTTGGCCTTTCGAGAAAACCTTCCACAGAATTTATTTGCAAGGTAGGTTATGAAGATTTGGGATTTGCGTCAAATTTCTCTTCCAGGCCGCCCTTCAAATAAATATTTCCCGACTCACAAGAGACCACAGTTATGTTAGATGTTTATCTTTTTAAATCTGAGTTCACTGCTTTTTCTTGGTTTTACAAGAATACGTCCTCACGAGAAGCCATTATTAAGCTGAATAGGCTTTGCTACTCCCACAAATGTGAATCTGGTAATGACTAACATTGAACTCAGTAATAAGTGAGGATAATTTCAGAACACTTGGCTTTGTTTAAAAGGGCAAGATTTTGGAAGCAGGCTCTAGGACTCCATCCAGATCCATTTTCCTGGCACAGAACTAGGAGACCGTGCCCAAGCTCTAGGTGACAGGAGAGGGCATGCTCTTTTCCCGTGTGCCGGGCACTGAGGCAGAGACGTCTGCAGGACCCCAGGCGCCAGAACCCCGCAGCACAGTGGCCTTTGGATGCCTGTACGCATCCTGGAAAAGGAAGATGGCTCCTTTACAACTCAGGCTAGCACTGGGCGGGGTCTCGGGTATAGGCAGGAGGCCAGGAGGCCATAGTAGCTCCCTGTGCTTCTCTGTCCCCCAGCGTTTGTGGCGCCTGGAGACCTGCTCAGCCTCTCCCAGATCCACGCAGAATTCTGAAAGACTATGTAGCTCTGCTTCTGTCCCTCCCTGGACCAGAGTTCACCTTGATCGTGAAATAGGATTTCTGAATCCATTGCACATCAGACACAGCTGGGTCTGGACTCGCTGCCCGACTTTTCCATGTCTTTTTGGAGATGAAGCAAATCTCTGGCTTGGTGAATGCTTTCTGATTATTCATGTCTCCCCCTTTTGTGTTCTGCTCTGGAAATTCAGGGTGTGGTAAAAGTGTTTGTACCTGCATTTATATTAGGACTTAAAAAATATAACTCGATTTTTGGTAAAGGGGAAAAAAAGGATTGTGGGGAGTGGGGGCAACATTAAGACAGAGAAAACAAGGTTTTATAATTCATTCCCTACTAAACATAGTTCTTGTGTCCTAGATATCAATATGCTGTAATTTACCAGGTACTTAATGGTAACAGGCACTGTTCTAATGGCTGAGCGTACATTTAAAAAAAAAAATTTTTTTTTCAACGTTTATTTATTTTTGGGACAGAGAGAGAGAGAGCATGAACAGGGGAGGGGCAGAGAGAGAGGGAGACACAGAATCGGAAACAGGCTCCAGGCTCTGAGCCATCAGCCCAGAGCCCGACGCGGGGCTCGAACTCACAGACCGCGAGATCGTGACCTGGCTGAAGTCGGACGCTTAACCGACTGCGCCACCCAGGTGCCCCAGAGCGTACATTTTATCATTGAAACTTCACAGCAACCCAGGAGGTGGGATCTGTTTTGACCCCCCACTTTACAGATGAGGAAACTGAGGCACAGAGAAGTCACTTGCCCAAAGGCACACAAGCAAATAAGAAATGGTACCCAGATGCTAATCCAAGCATTTTGACTCTAAGGCACTTCCCCGACACTCCACGGAGGGGGGGGGGGTAACACGGAGAATTACAAGCCAACTCATTTAGCAGCAGTTTGATGGAATATATGAACTTACTTAATTTAAAATGCGTGAACTCCTTCTAAAAGAGTGTGAAGAACAATGAAAATCTGACACCTTCTCAGTTATAAATCTATTGGTAGAGGGCACCATGGGTTCCTCTATTGTAAATAGCCTTCTCGGGGGTTCTAGATGGTAGGTCACATGGATATAAGGAAAAACTTGATTTCCATGGATTATCATTACATAGATTCGCGTGTAAGGCAATCCACATTTCCCAGCTATATTATTTTATTCAGGAAAAGCCTAGTAGACCTCGGTATGGAAGGTTAGTCTATTACACAGGTGTTGCAAAGGGATTTCACTGGCTTGGATGCTTCAATTTGACACAGAATCTCAGTTCTGAAATGGGAGGAGTTTTGGTGACTCACTGTCAACTTTGGCTCACCCCCAAAATGCTTTAGGAAAATATTCCTCTACAGAGGTAAAGAAAAACAGGAACCTGGTGAGCTGGATCAATGTGTCTAGATAATTCAGACCCCCAATCCTCTTTTTCTAGAACCACAGGAGAGTCCTTTGAATTTTCTGAGTTGCTAGCGTCACTCAACTAGACTTTTCCTGAAAAGACTCAGCTTAAATTCTCACCATGTCTCTGGGCTCTCATTTCACTGTGCTAATTAAGGAACTCTGAGGGTGCATCTACACATGTAAAACGAGTGGATCTTAACACGCCAACGCTTTGCTTTTAGCCAACTTCGTGAATCCAGTTTGCTGTACAACTGATCAGGCTTCTGTAGCAACCGGCATTGATCACCAGGACTGCTGTGCTCACTGGACAGCCAGGCCCCAGTCTAGCCCCTTCCTGCGCGGGTCCTAGACGTGGTCTGGGGTCATAATAGGACAATAAAGCTGGTACTTTTTAAAAGCTTTTACTCCAAGTAACATCCCTCATTTGATGAAATAGGTAGCCTTCTGCCAACTTGGCTCTCTTGCCTAAACCTTGGTGTTTCCAGGCTAGTAATTCTTCAGATGTGATGTTTTATAAAATGTAAAGTGAATTAATTCTTCCTTTTGTCAGTGTTGTAAGGTCCATCTGGAGTTTGCTCGGTCAGAAAAGCATCTGTATTAATCACACAAACTGAGATCATCTAGTGGGCCTAAACCGTACATTTTAATGATTTTACTTGACAGATGACAAAGTAGCCCAAGCAAATAGCTACCCAGTTTTAGCAAGAAGGTTAGAAATCATATCTAGTGAATGGAATTGCATTATTTAAACTTCAATTTTTTTTTTTTATTAAAAACCTCCCCAATTCAATAAATGACCACATATATTTTGAAGCAATTGCGGAATCATCTTATCTGCCCTATTCCATTCTTAAACAGCTGAATTTAAAACATGCTTCCTACTGGGGCGCCTGGGTGGCTCAGTGGGTTAAACGTCTGACTGTGGCCTGGGTCATGATCTCATGGTTTGTGAGTTTGAGCCCCCTCATAGGGCTCTGTGCTGATAGCTCAGAGCCTGGAGCCTTCTTTGGATTCTGTGTCTCCCTCTCTCTCTGCCCCTTTTCCGTGTGCCCTCTTTGTCACTCAAATATAAATATTAAAAAAAATTTTAAACACACTTCCTACTAAAAGTCTTAAAAATGAGAAATTGTTAACTATTAATGATACTTTCCCCTAATTAAATAAGGAAAAAGTGTTGGGGCTTTGCTTGGAAGGACATCATTTCAGATTTCTTCCTTTTTTTTTTTTTTTACCTCATTAAAGCAACAAAATGTGGGTGGTTAATCTGAGGGAAAGCTGCCATTTTCTAAAAATGCATTAAGACTTAACTGGACGGGTGGTTGCATGACAAGAGCTATTTAGGATTAGAGAGTAGTTGTGATTTGTATTTAAATGAATTGCACGCTATTTACAAATTCTTCGGCAGTTAATCTGGATCCTTTCCATTCTACTGCAAGCAGAAGGCAGACCTTTCTGCCTAGTTACCCCAACTTCGAAGTCAGTTCCTGGAGGAATCAAGTTTGTCCTCCAAATGTTGGCTTTGATGAGGATGAGCCTGAGGGACTCTACGCTTTCACTTGAATTTATCCTCTTTCTGGATACTATTAAATCATTCCTGCCTCAAGCGGAGGACTGGTCTCTGCTTCAAAGGCAGCTAAAGAGTGAATTATTTACCAAATTGCACAAAAGGGAGGATGTATCAAGCCCCCTTTCTCCCAGAGAGGACAACCCCAGTATTGGAGGACTTTATTACTCTCTCTTTCTTGGCTATAAATTATGCCATTCAGATGCTTTTGAAAGCTTCTCTTCATGCTCTCGCTTGAGTCATAAAATTTGATACCTGGGGCCAAATGCCTTCCCCCATCCCCACCCCAGAAGGGTAAGGAAGACGAAAAGGCACCAATTCTAGGAAAGTGTCACACAAAGCCAATGACTGGGCAGCAAATTTGGGCAGTGGGAACAGTTGTTCTGCATAAGTCCCACCTTCTTGACTTGCTCTTCTACTCTAGAATGAATTTTACCACTTGTGTAAGATCACCGGACCCTCCAAAACCTGCATTCGCCACTCAGAGGGCCCTTGGTGTAACTGGTACCACCAGTCTGAGTGTTGGCATTACCTGTAGTGCTGGGATTTTAGAGTTTGTGAATTTCCACACATCAGTCACTCACCTGAAGAGGGTTTGCTGGGGCCCACCTTCTCCGGTTTCCGTGGAGTCATGGTACTTTTATGTTTCTGTTTGACTGATGTTTGGTCAATTGCCGGAAGTCTGGAATCACCCTTGACCGCAGAACTCTTGGTGGATAGTCTTGGTTCGGCTACAGAATCCTCCTCACCAGAACTCTACCGGAAATGAAAGGTGTCTGAGTATTAATGGCCAAATAGGTCATCTCTGCTGGGCAGAGGGAAAAAGAGACTAGCTGACTGCAGGGATCTCTCCAACACTAACACTGGAATATCCCGCCATGCTTAATATGCCCTTTTACCAGTGAGGTTTTGATGGACTGTATCAATTTAGAAGAATCAATTAGAAATAATAGCAAAGTTAATGAGACTATTTTGCAGAACACCATAAAAAGGAGACACTTCTACGAGTCTATCTTGTAGAACATTATGAAAAGAATACATTTCTGACCCTTAAGTAATTTGATGACCAACAAACAGCTCATGTTATGAAAGCTATGTATGAAAGCAAAAGAAACAATCAATGCCCTTAAACTTCTTGCTTTTGTTATCTGAACTGCTTTGGGGGTGGGTGAGGAAAGATGTTCCTAATGGTAATCATATACTTGACAATGAAAAGGAAATTTAGACAGTGTGTTGGGACTGAAAAAATTAGACCTACGTTTACCGTTCTGAATTACTGGGTGCAACGTGAGACAGACTAATCTTTTTAAGAGTCTCCTAGTTGTCCGTCTTCTATAAAGAAGTCATTATAAATCTACGCACAGCCAAATCATGATTCCTGCAGCGTCAGAGTGTCTCAGCGCAGCCTTGCCAACACAACAAAAATTATCCAGGCATTCGATAGTTTTCTACTTTGCCGCCACTACGCTCACCAAAAGAATAATGAAAGCAACGTAACTGGCTATGGGAAATCTGGTCACAGTGGGTGAGTTAAGTCCTACCTCATGGTTTTAGGTCCTGGTGTTATGATTTGTGATACACTCTGCAACAAACTAAACCCCAAGGTCTCCGCCCCTCCCTCCCCAGGGGGAGGGTCTCTCAGTTCTTCTACAGGCACATTAGTCCAGTCTTGGGAAAGTCCTCTCAGGATGCACGGTCTTCTGCAGACAGAGTGCTACATTAATGGCCCCCTCTTCCCCAAACGTGGCGATTTGTATTGATCTTGCTCATCATTCCAGCTGACAATTGTGGCATTTTCATTTCAAGGGCTCCTGACTCAGGAAAATACCCTGAGTAGCTTTGAATTATTGGGTGCAACAGAAGACAAACTAAATTCTAAAAAAAAATTCCCCTGCTTGTCAGTCTTCTTCAAAGATGTCTGTATAAATCTACAGGTGGACAGATCATTATCCTCTAAGATAATAAATTGTTGTTTTGTAATTTAGAGTCTGGAGACAGCCTTCAAACAATTATTGTTTCTCCCTGTGTTTTCAGAAAACAAACCAGATAAAGAGACAGGAAAAAGAAAGGACTTAATGAACTGGTTGTTCTCCATTTTCCTTTTCGATTCTGGAATTTAATAGAAATCCTTGAAAATGATTCTGAAATGTCAAAGGTGAAGCATTAAGTCATTTTTAAAAAAGTTTACTTAGGGGCGCCTGGGTGGCGCAGTCGGTTGGGCGTCCGACTTCAGCCAGGTCACGATCTTGTGGTCCGTGAGTTCGAGCCCCGCGTCGGGCTCTGGGCTGATGGCTCAGAGCCTGGAGCCTGTTTCCGATTCTGTGTCTCCCTCTCTCTCTGCCCCTCGCCCGTTCATGCTCTGTCTCTCTCTGTCCCAAAAATAAATAAACGTTGAAAAAAAAAATTAAAAAAAAAAAGTTTATTTATTTAGTTTTGAGAGGAAGAGTGTGAGCAGGGAGGTGGCAGGGAGAGAGGGAGAGAGAAAATCCCAAGCAGGCTCTGCATTGTCAATGCAGAGCTCAACATGGAGCTTGAACTCATGAACCGTGAGATCATGACCTGAGCCAAAATCAAGAGTCAGACACTTAACTGACTGAGCTACCCAGGCACCCTCTGAAGCATTACATCATTTCTGAACATGAGACAGGTTCTCTGTTTTCAGAGTAGGAAATGTGGGCAAATTTTAATTATGATGCCCAAGACTGTCCTAGGCAAGGAGAACGTCAGTGAACATGGGATGGAATTTTTTCCACAAACTGCCCAACAAATACCTCATGTGAGTGAGTGGACAATAGAAAGGGTCTATTCTTCAGCCCTTTATTTCTAGCCAATGCAAAGGCAGGAAAAAGATACTCTGGGTTACGACTACCAATATCCATGGTTACAGTATCAGGAGCAATAATAGCGTCCACCGTTACTGGTGGGTCTGTCACCCTCAGCCAGGGCTGGATTCTTTGCTTGTCCCGGGCAGTGGTGAATTGGGAGGAGTTGGTTACAAGACTTTTGATTGGGTGGGTGTTAAGCCATATTATATTTCCTTCACCCACTCATTATACTTCAAGCCTTTAATAGCACCAAAGGTGAACGAAAGTTTGGTCCACGAGACAGTGCCTATTACATAGGGAATAGTGTACCTGTGCTCTGAATACATCCTTTTCCGGTTCCTAGTTCCATCAGCCTTACTTGCTTCCAGTTGCTAATCATTCTTAAGAGTCTAGAAATTGCCGCTGGAAGGGGGTGTTTTGTCAGTGGGAAACTAAAGTCGCAATGGCAGAAATAATAATACTTATGATGAATGTGCTTGCTTCACTAATCGTAAGCAAATCATTTCAACTTTTTTTGTGCCTTTGTTCACGTCTTCTTGTGTTCTCTGCCATTCTCTCTCCTCTCTTATGAAAACGCATAATATTAATCAGGGAGGATGATCCTTGGTGTGACAAGTGTAGTAACTCATTCTGGCACCAAAGTGTAGTATTTAAGACTTCCTGGGAGGGGATTCTGGGTTTCCCAGGGTTATTGTGCGACATAGTGTTAATTTTGGTTCATCTCTCCGCATCTCAGAGTTTTCCACCCATGAACCATAGTGTCTACCTTGTGGTGGTTCTGCGAGGATTAAATGAGTTAGGACATGCTCGTAGCACTTAGAACAATACCAGGCATGCAGTAAATGCCATGTGAGTGTTGGCTTTTGTAATTACCCATTTAAAAAATTAACTCGCTAACAACCGAATATTAACTACCTGTGGTTGAAAGCAAAACCCAAATCCCCAGTGAGAAATACTATTGGATTTTCACTTCATCCAAAGAAATGTGAGCAGAGAGGTAGATCAGATCTTACATCAGACTCTTGATTTATTTATTGATTGATTTATTATTTTTGAGAGAGAGAGAGAGAAAGAGAGAGCACACAAGTTGGGGAGGGGCAGAGAGATAGGGAGACAGAATCTGAAGCTGGCTCCAGGCTCTGAGCTGTCAGCACAGAGCCCAACTCGGGGCCCGAACCCATGAGCTGTGATATCATGACCTAAACTGAAGTTGGACACCTAACCAACTGAGCCACCCAGGCACACCTGGACCCTTGGTTTCTTTCACAAGCTATTGAATTTATGATTGTCTTCTAAGTATCCAACTGAAATTTGTCTGGTCTTAAGAAAATATGGCACGATTTCTTTTTCAGACAGTAAAGCTCTAATGGAAAATATTTAACAACAGTCAGAGATTATCAAACAATAATCATTAAGTTATTTTGATTTAAAGTTGATTTTAAAACTGTCTTTTCCCCCTTGTAATTTTGAACAGTAATTACAATGTTCATTTCTTCCCCCATATGTTCCTAAGTTGAAATGTCACATGGAGGTGGAGGCAACAGCACATTTTGCTATTCCTTTGGGGGAAGAAAACCAGCTTTGTCTTTCAAAATCAAAGTCTAAAGCATTAAAAAAAAAAAAAACTAACTAGAAAGAAACTTTTAAAAATCAAGCTACAGGATACATGTGAGGATTCTCAGTTCCCTATTCATAATTTGGTAAGAAAGTCCTAATAAAGCCATGTGAATAGCAATAAGCTATTGTCAAAATGAACATTTTTCTAGAGTGTTATTACTTTTGTATTTATCATTCTCCCCCGGTCCCCCACTTGCTCTTCTGGCAGAATAGAGAGACTACCTTGCCCAGGGCAAGGCTCTCTCCAAAGTTCAGAGAAAGACTCCTGTCTGGGAGTCCCATTAGGGACTTCCACAGGGAACGACTTATTGATGCTATAATGGTTCTAGTTAGGCCCCCTGGAAGACGGAGACCCAGGGGTTGGGGAGTGGAACACATTGCCTCAGGGACATGAGAATGATGAGATTATTTCACCTGGGACCTCACAGTGTGGGATCTGGAATGGCAAGGTGACAGTGAACAGAGACAATTAGAAGAGAAGGAGACCTAAGTAGTCAGGGATGGACGAGACCATGTTATTTTCCAGCTCTTGCCTGATGGCTCATTTCCAAGACCCAGGAAACTGGTCCTCAAATGGGATGGCCCCTCTCTCCCACCCTCCCTCCTTCAGGGCGTGCTACTGCATTCTGATTGATGTAGACTAGCCCCATTTTTGCCACATGTCATGTGATGGAAAGCTGGGCTGAGCAGATCTCCCGATATGGTGTGGATCAGGGTACAACCTGCTGTGAACAAGAGGAAAAGAGTAGTGTCGGGCTATTACCAGAGAAGTGTGTTTATGACACTTGAAATAAGTATGTTTTCATGAGACCATGAAAGACAGTGACCAACGCGGTGACACTTGACGTCCAAACAGTAACAACACGGGAAGGGTGACTGAAGGACTGTGGGTGCGAACGTGTACCTTCAAGTTTCCAAAGTCTACGTTCAAATTGTGCCTCAGACACAGAAACAGCCTTAGAGAATCGAAGGTAGCTTGTATACGTAGCATTCTGGACAGGGTGGACTCCTTTGTGCATTCAAGAAGCATAAAAGCATGTTCTACACAGAGGGCTGGCTTGTCACAAAGCAGGCTAACCTGTCTCTAATCTAGAAAAAACTCTAAAAGCAGCAAAGTCCTTCGCATGTTCAGGACAGTGTTGAGCTCCATTTCGCCGCAAGATGCTTTTTGGAGTCAGGGGGGCTGCCACGTGTGTAAATATCACGTGCACCTGTGTCTACCATGGACTTCGGGAAAGAGCGCCCCACCCCCCACCTGCCACGGTCTCTGTGATTTTCATGCTAGCAAGTTGGAATGACTCAGCCTGAGACACTGATCTGTCACTAGTGGCCTTGGTCAAAGTCTTCCCAACGTTTGATGACCACGGCGTTGGCTCCCTGAAGGAGGGGCACGTGAGACCATAGAATTTGCTTCGTGATGACTCTCCATCTGACTGTGGAATGGCCTCTGGGTGAAGCTCAGAGCTGCAAGCTACTCAAATGGCAGACATGACAGGTTTTCTGACACTTGCTAGCTATTTCTTGTAATGCAAATTAATCCCTTGTGAGTTGTAGAAATCACTCTTGTGGGTGGTGACACATTTTCATGCTTTTGGGGACCTGTGCGAGTGAGTGAGTGCGTATGATGTGCTCTGGGATGGAGTTCTGTGTGGTGGGCAGCAGGTGTGTGGCCAGAAAATGCTGGATTTTTAAAATTTGAACACTAAAGTGTAGTGGTTAGTAGCACATCGAGACTGCCCTCCGTTGGATATTTCTCAAGTAGAGTTTGGCTACAATAAATTTCTCCTCCATTCTTTATTTGAATTCCTGTGCCCTTTTAGCTGAGAGGAGCCTCTGAGGAACATGAAAGATTTGGCCATCAAATGGAGATCCTCTACAAAAGTACCTCCTACTCGAAATAATATGTCATACAATGTGGGAATTAATTGAGAAGCATCATTTGCAACGACTATGACTTCAACCCTACTCAAGCACCAGGAAGGCATTTAAAGACAAGAAGCTTGCGGTGGGAGACATGAGATTATAATCTCATGAAATGCAAAACAACATTTAATTAAGCGATAAATCGGGTGGCACCGATTCTGAATTCCAAAGGAACGCACAGAAAAAGATGCGAAGTCAAGGCAGGGTTCCTGAGGTTTCTGGAACCTGAAGTATGAGTGGTGACTGCCTTAGGCTGGAGGCAGCACAGGAGCCAAGGTATGGATGGAGTAATGAGTAGGGCATGATTCTCAGACGACAGGGCAAGGGGCCAGAGCAGAGAGTGGGGGAGGAGGGGGAGAGAGAAAGCTGGATGGCAGGGTGGCGTCAGATTGGGGGGGGGGGCCTGAGATGCAAGCAAAGAATTGAGAGTCAATGTGATAGAAAATGGGGTCCAACTGAAGGTTTTGGAGTAGAAAAATGCTTAACATGGTTTCTAAGATGAGCATGTATGTTTTTCTCAGAGCGGGAAAAGAAAGCATCCTGAAAATTTGCCAGTGAAATGATCTTTTCATAGTTTCAATGGCTTTTTTTGGTGAAGTGTAACTCTTCATTACAAAAGGAATGCATGCTCATAATGGACATATAAAGAGAAGCCTAAGAAAGAAAATGTAAAACATTCAAAGCCCCATTAACCTAGAACTAAAAACTGCAAGCAGCTTGGTCTATATTCTTTAAGACTCCCTTTTAATGACTGCGATGGATTTCCACTGAAATCCCTTCTCAAGCAATAGGGTGAAGCTGGGATATGGCCACCCTCCTTGAACAGAACGTTTCCGTCTCCCCTGCCACGTGGTTGGCCTCGGAGGAAAGTCTCACCCACCGAGTGGGAGTGAAAGTGTCTGTCTCACTTCTGCCTCAGTGTCTGGCCCGGCACTTCAGCTAGAAAGGCAACAACTTTGAAAGTCATGCATTGAAGACAACCGAACTGTTATCAGCCCGAGTCTCTGAAAGTCTTGGTGGAGGAGAGCTGTCTGCCCATCTGGTTCGTCCAGCCTGAACTGTCACACGTGCAAAAACTAAACTGCCTTGATTCACTCATCATATTTTTGGTCCCTTTGTTACAGCAGCTGACGTTACACTAACACATGTTTATGCCTATACAAGTGTGATTAAAAAAATAGAATTGTACCATACATACTGTTTCACTTAACAATACGTTGCATCAACAGATACCTTTTAATAATGTTTCAATCTTATTCTGAAAATGTCAAATCTATAGAGCAGTCGAAAGAACGGTACAAAAAACAGCCCTTACTCTATTTGCACGCTACGCTCTCTTGAGCCCGCTCTCACACAAGTATGCACACACTCTCTCTCTATATATATTCTTTTTCTAAAGAATTTCAAAGTCACTAGACTTCATGATAGTTCACCCCTAAATACTTACACATCCATCTCTTATCAAAATAGACATTCTCCTGCAAAGCCACAGTACCAGCCATCTTACCTAAAAAAATGTAATAGTTCCGTGACATTGTCTAATACGTACAGCATATTCAAATTGTCCCCCAAATGTCTCTCCAGCTGTTTGTTTTGATCTATGATCCAGTCAAGGTACTTAGATTGCATGCGGTTTTTATGTCCCTTTACTCTTTGGTTTTCTGCCTTTTTGGCTTTTTCATGTTTTTTACTGTTTTGGAGAGTCCCAGCCCCATAGAAGGTCTTACGTTCTGAATTTGATTGTTTTCTCATGATAAAATTCAGGTTAACCATTTTGGGTATGCATATTCTATAGGTGGTGTGGTGTCCTTCTGTATAACGTCACACTTCAGCACCTAACAATGCTATTGGTAATGCTGTTTGATCTCTAGCTAAGGTGGTGACTGCCAGATGTCTTCAATGTAAACTACATTTCCCCCCATTGTAATTAGTAGGTAATCTATGAATGATTCTTTGACACTGAATAGCCTATTCATAAACAACACTTTACCCAATGATTTTAGTGTCTCTTGATGTACTTTCCCTGAATTGATAATCATTTGGGGGTAGTAGCAAAACAATTTTTTTTCCCAATTCTGTCATTTCTCCTACAATTAATAACTGGCATTCTTCTCTAGAGAAGAACAACATTCCCCCCACCTTCTCTTTTATTTATGTACATATTTAATTTATTTATTATCACTGCAGTCTCAAGGATATATTTTCTTCAGTTATCTCATCACATTCTTTCATGCTCAAATTGTACCAAAATTGGTGAGTGGGAGTCCACTGAAGTTGACTTTTGACATGAGTTTTTGAGCACTTCTTTACTTTCTGGTACAATAAAAATATCATAGTTTCCCCCTTGTATTTTACCTGTCTCAGACCTGGAATCCAAGTAGCTCTGGTTCCTTTTAGTTAAAATGGTAGTTAGGACTTAATATCAATGCTGGGTGTGTTCATTGCTACTGGAATGACACTGTTCCTAAGTCCTTTCAATAGAATTCATTAGAAATATGTATTTAGGGGCACCTGGGTGGTTCAGTCGGTTGAGTGTCTGACTTCGGCTCAGGTGATGATCTCATGGTTCGTGGGTTTGAGCCCCGCATTGGGGTCTGTGCTGACAGCTCAGAGCTTGGAGCCTGCTTCAGATTCTGTGTCTCCCTCCCTCTCTGCCCCTCTTCTGCTCATGCTCCGTCTCTGTCTCTCTCAAAAATAAATACACTTAAAAAATATGTATTTAAAAAAATCATGAGTTCACAGCAATCTTTCTAATTAAAATTTAACACTATATGGAGCTTTCCATTCCTTTGAAAAGTTTTATATTCGTATTTTACATTTAGCATCTTTATTCCTTAATTATATTAATATTTTTATTCATGTTTTCTCTGTAATAAATGTGAAATAATGTCAGAATTACAATACAAATATTACTGTAAGAATAAACCCACTAAGTAAAGTTCATTCTTTCTTGGTAGTTCTCTTTGTTTGTTTTTTAATCTTTGTTTACAATTTCTTTTTTTAAGTTTTTATTGATTTAAGTAATCTCTGTATCCAATGTGGGGCTCAAACTCACAACGTCGAGATCAAGAGTCACATGCTCTGCTGGCTGAGCCAGCCAGATGCCCCAGTTCTCTTTGTCTTCAGAATACACTCCTCACTGAATGGATCGATCATAATTCTTTTTGTTGATCATGTACTTTGCTTCCAGCTTTTTGCTATAATAAATAGTGCTATGATGAATATTCTTCTAGATTTATGCACATCTTTAATTATCTCAAGTTTCCCAAAGTGGGAATTTATATTAGTAGATTAAAAGCATCACAAAGATTTAAAATTTTTTGTTCCCAGATTGTCCTCCAGAAATGTTGGTATCAACTTACATTTGTAGATGTATGTGAGAATGCCAACTTCCGCATAACTTTTCCAACTATTATCTTTTTTTTGAAAAGTCATTTTGGGAGATTATAATTTTGAATTGTAACTCATATGTAGTTTTAATTATTACACAGGCTCATTTATCTCAGCGATTTAGAATGTATATTCCACCTATTTCTAAAAAGGTTCTGAGATTACTTAAAAGAACTCCAAACCGTTTTTAAGAAATGGAACAAGGGGCGCCTGGGTGGCGCAGTCGGTTGAGCGTCCGACTTCAGCCAGGTCACGATCTCGCGGTCCGTGAGTTCGAGCCCCGCGTCGGGCTCTGGGCTGATGGCTTGGAGCCTGGAGCCTGTTTCTGATTCTGTGTCTCCTTCTCTCTCTGCCCCTCCCCCATTCATGCTCTGTCTCTCTCTGTCCCAGAAAAATAAATAAATGATAAAAAAAAATAAAAAAAAAAAGAAATGGAACAAGAAAAGGCAGAAACTAATTTATGGAGAAAATACTTAGAATAGCAGCCGTCTCTGAGAAGGGACAGGGACGGGAACTGGCTAGAAAGGGGCATAAAGAATCTTCATGGGGTGATGAAAACCTGATGGGGGTGTGGGTTACAGGGCACATGCATTTGTCAAAACTCATTAAATATTACTCTTAAAATCTATACAATTTACTTCAGGTAATTTCTACCGCCTAAGCAAAAACGGGAAAAAAAAAATGAACCATCAAAACCACAAAAGCCATAAACAGGTATTCAATGCTAGTTAATGACGTACATGCTGAAGTATTTTGGGGGGCAGAGTACTGATCAAGTTGCAAGTCTGCAACTTGCTTTGAAATGCATCAAAACATGGGCGCCTGGGTGGCTCAGTTGGTTAAGCATCCGACTTTGGCTCAGGTCATGATCTCACGGTTTGAGTTCCAGCCCCATGTTGGGCTCTGTGCTGACAGCTTGGAGCCTGGAGCCTGCTTCAGATTCTGTGTCTCCCTCTCTCTCTCTGCCTCTCCCCTGCTCGTGCTCTCTCTCTGTCTCTCAAAAATAAACGTTATTAAAAAGAATTAAAATGAAATGCGCCAAAACCCAAGGTGGATCTGTGGATGGATAGATGGACAGATAGATACGTGATAAAGTAAATATAGCAAAATGTCAACAATTGTAGAATCTAGGTGGTAGGTATATGGATATTCACTATACAATTCTGTCAAGTTTTCTCTATGTTTTGAAGTCCTCAGAGTAAAATATTGGGGGGAAATGGAGCAGAAATATAGATATTGTCGGGCTGCGAGGATAAAGTAGGTACTTTGTGGGAACACTGCCAGTTTCTTTTTATACCTCATAATAAACGTTTCATTAGATTTAAAATGTTTCCTTCATGATACCATCTGGTAACAATGAGAGATCAATGATCAATACAGAGAAGTCAATGCAGGATAAATTTTAAAAGATATGCCTCATCTTATGCTTGGTGATTTAGGATGAACATAAATTCATACTAACAGGGACCCTCCATGGAAGAGACAATATAGCCACATATGTTGGGATATGCGAATGACGAGTAAAACAAAGACTTGGTTCTTACAGAGCTTACAGTCTAGGTAGGAAGATAGATCATTTAATCAAATAATTATTAATGTAAAATTACAAGTCCTAAATTAAATTAAAAAAAAGGAAGCATATGGAAAACCATAGAAGATAGGGCAGAAGGGTCCGAATCTAGTTGCGGGAGGGGACAGTTGGGAAAACGCTCCCTGAGGAAGTGACCTGGGCTGACATCTGAGGCATGGTGGGAAGGCAGGGTGCGTGTTGTAAGAGAGGTGGCCTGGCAGGTGGGAAGACCCGAAGCCAGGGTGGATGGACTTGGGGCAGTACGGAGGACCAGATCCTTCAGGCCCTTATTGGCTCCATGACGAATTCTGGTTCCCATTCTGAAAGTCACAGAAGGCCACGGAAGGGGTTTCAGCGGGCCAGGGACATGATCTGAGTCCCACTCTCACTGTCACTCCATGTGGTACAGAAAGTGGAATTTAGGGGGAGGAGTAGAAGTGTGAAGACTGGCCAGGAGGTGTCGGCAGTAATAACCCAAGTATGCAATGGAAGAAAAGCACACACAGACCGATTAAAAAGCTCTTGGGGAAGGGGTGCCTGGGTGGCTCAGTCGGTTAAGCGTCCAACTCTCCATTTCGGCTCAGGTCATGATCTCACAGTTGGTGAGATCAAGCCCTACATTGGGCTCCGTGACAACAGCGTGGAGCCTGCTTGCAATTCTCTCCCTCTCTGTCCCTCCCCTGCTCATGCTCATTCTCTCTCAAAAGAAAATAAACATTAAAGAAAAAAAGCAATTGGGGAAGTAAATGGCATAGACTTGGTGATTGAATTGAATATGAGGGTCAGGAGGAGAGAAAGTGCCAGATTTGGATGATGCCACACAAAAGGAATCGTGAAGGACCAGGCTGGGGACTATGGTGTTGGGCCTGTTGAGACTTCCAAGTAGACGTATTGAGTAAACAGTTGAATATTCAGACCTGGAGATTACAAGTGAGTTTTGGGTTGGATATGCAGATCTGGAGGTCTTTGGCAGTTAACATCTTGACTTTGGCAGTTAACATCTTGATGAGGTGACCTAAGGAAAATTTATAGAGCAGTGCTTCTTGGGGGGCGGGTCGTGAACTTGGATGGGGGAAAAAAATTATATCGTTATTTCCACTAACCCCCAACTGAAAGCTAAGCGTAACTTTCATTTCTGAACGCAGGCAACGAACCGCGGTGGTATTGGCAGTTCCTGTGACTTTGTCGCCAATAGAAATCACAGATATTTTCACATTTCATTAAATTTGTTGCAGATGTCTCAAAATACCCTTTACGCCCATCACTTGTTATTTAATGTGTTAATAAAGAAGCACATACATTACTGAATCACAGATTTCTAAAAATATTTTGATGACTATTTCGATAAAAGTGGCTTCCTTTGAAATCCTTTGTATTATTTTATGCGTTTGAAATATTCTGAGAAGAGGATCTAAGAGAGTTCACCATAGTGCCCACGAGGTCTGTGATACAAAATTAAGATAAACCCCTAGGTATGGAGTGGGAAGAGAGCCCGAGCCTCGAGGAATCCCGGGACTCAGGGCCTGGGCAGCAGTGGAGGAACAGGAGGAGAAATCACCTCCAGAGACACCGGAGGAAACCCGGAGGAGAAGATGGCTTTGCAGGAGCTCAGGGGCACATGCTTTGGGGGGACTGAGTGAAGGGGCCAGTGGAAGCCACTGGGAGGGCAAATGTGGAGAGGACCCAAAGACCTGCCCCATTCATAGATGTGGAAGTCATTTGACAAAGTGCCATTTCAGTGGAATGAGGGAGCATGAGAGCCAGATTGGAGTGGGTTGAGGAGTGAGTGGGAGGTGGGGAAAATGGAGTCAGTCAGTGTAAATAATTCTTTTGAGAATTCTGTGAAGGAGAAGAAATAAATGGAGGGACAGGATCAAGGGAGAACTTTTTTTTTTTTTTTTTTTTTTTTTTTTTGGTGGGAGACCGTGGATCACGATTAGATGCTGATAGAAGGTTCTGGGTCAGCTGGGGGTGCAGGCAGGGTGAGGGAACTGGATGGAAAAGGGTCTGTGGGCAGCAAGGAGGCGGGATCTTGAGGAGAGGGTAATGCACAAGAGAGGGGATGGGTGGGCAGGGCAGCAACGAGCTAGGGAAAACTCTGAGGACCACCAAGGTGTGGAATGGAAGAGAGGAGGGATTGAAGACTGGGCAAAGGGAAAGAGGATCCAAGTGAGAGAGCTGAGCAGGGCAACACGGCAGCACTGAGGGGTTCCAGG